ATGGCAGTGAGTTTGGTTTTTTGGTTTTCTTTGCTCTGTACAGGGAGAGGCCAATAGTTGCACCTTAGATGGCTGCTCATAAACTTTTAAGATCCCCAGTCACTACTCACAAAGTAGGATTCAGTCACTACTCACAAAGTAGGATTTGAACATTGTCTTTGTGTTACGTTATGCCAGTTGACCTCAGTGTCCCCCTGTACTATAGTCCTAAGCCCCTAGGCCCAGTGACTCATTCCCTCAAGGTGTTTGGTTTTAACTAAGTTTTTGTAACTTTCTTATAATACGTACAATTTTGTATGCTCTACTAATCATAGATATATTTGCAATACATTTAAATATGTATGTAGAAGTATCTTCTGTCAAACCTTTATATATTTTCATGAGTGTAATGCCATTCACCTTCCCATACCTGTTCAGCTTACACATTTTTCAATGTATCAATGCATAGATTATTGTTACTACTATTATTGCAGACTTGTGTATATAATAGTGTTTACCTTTGTTTCCTTTAACTCTGTGCTTCTCTCAGTATCTTCCTTTGCCTTGATCATTTTGTGCTGACTTATCCCTTATTGTTTATCTTTTCCCTTCACCCAGATTAATACATATCTACCCTCCAGTTAGGAGCTCTGGTAGTGTAATGCCTAAGGCACTTGACTGCTAACCAGAAGGCTGGCGGTTCAAACCCACCAGCCACTCCTCGGAAGGAAGGTTGGACAATCTACTTCCATAGAGATACCGCCTCAGAAACCCAAAGAGGGATTATGAGTTGGGTCTGACTTGATGGCACATAACAACAATAGCAACAAACCCTCCAGTTAGTGATTTGCCCTTCCTTTCCCCACCCCACCCCCCACCCCTGGTAACCTTCCAAGGATGTTTCTTTCTGTGAGTAAACTTTTTCTTAAATTTTTTGTAGTAGTGCTCTTGCACATTGTTTGTCCTTTTGTGATAGACTACTTTCACTCAACGTAATGTCTGCCAGGTTTATCTATGTTAGGAAATGTTTTTTTTGTGTGTGTGTGTGAGAGAGAGATTTGGGTAAAAGTTTATAGAGCAAATTCACTTTCCATACAGCAGCTCACATATACTTTGTCTCATGACATTGCTGCAAGTTCCCACAATGCAACAGCTCCCTCCCACTTTCTTGCCATAGTTACTTCTTCCTTGTATCCTTCCCTCCCAGGCACTCCTGCCTCCCTGTGAATATACAGCCCTTCTGTTCTCCCATGATTGCTCTCTCCAAAGAGTGTATCTACTAAGTGTAAATATTCACCTCACATGCCTTTTTTTTTTGGCTGGAAGCCACAGGAGTGGGTTCATTTCCAGACCTGAAGGGCAGCTCAGGGCCACAGTCTCAGTGGTTCCATCAGGCTCTATCAGACCAGCAAACCTGGTCCCTTTTTTTTTTTTTTTAAATGATTTTGAGTTTTGTTCCACATTGTTCTCCAGCTCTATCCAGGATCTCCTACATAGATCCCTATCCAAGTGG